TTTATTTATTTATTTAAAAACCTTGAGAACAATATCACAGATGATATTGCACATTTTCTGCTTTTTTTAAAATTACTGTTGAATTTGGCCAAACAAATATGTAACTTTAAAACAGCTCCACTGAAGTAATATCTGTCAGTGTTTAGATTTTTAGCTCTCATGTTCCGACAACCACAACCCCACCCTAACGCTCTGCCCTCCCCTGCTGCAGCGGCCAAACAACAGAAACTTCTGTAAATCCTTTTCTTTTCGCAGGTAGCAGCTGATTCTGTGAAAGTCAGACCAGACCAGAGGGTGGACCAGCTGACCAGCTTCTTCTTTGTTGTAATGGTATAAGAAAGCATTAGCATGTAGCACCACTGGTACTACTGTAAACAAGACAATATGGCACACCCCTAACCTCACATTTGTGTTGGGCTGTTTTAATCAGCTGAGTCTTCCCACCATGAACTGTGTTCACTTAATAATGTAATATAGCACTTTTTAACATGCTTAAAAACCCAATACACCCTTGTGAAAAATAAATATATTAAGTATATTAAGTCTTACTTGAAGCCAGACTAATCATCATTATACTTCAAGTTTGTTAAGAGTTATTTAACTGAAAGGATGCTATTTTGGAATAAATATATTTTAATTGTATTTATCAATTCATCCATGTTCTAACACCCTTGTCCCTAGTGGGGTTGGGAAGGGTGCTGGTGCCTCTCTCCAATGAACATTTCGGGCAAGAGGCAGGGTCTCCCTGGACAGGTCGCCAGGCAGGGCAACACAGGGACAGACAGGACAAACAACCATGCACACACACTCACTCACACCTAGGTAGAATTTAGAGAGACCAATTAACCTGACAGTCATGTTTTTAGACTGTGTGAGGAAGCTGGAGTACCCAGAGAGAACCCACCATGCACAGGGAGAACATGCAAACTCCATGCAGAAAGACTCCAGGCTGGTTATCGAACCAAGAACCTTCTTGCTGCAAGGCAACAGCTCTACCAAATGTGCCACTGTGAAGCCCTAATTATAATGAAATTGTAATTAAATTGTAGAAAAACTTTAGAAAAATTTGAAGTATACTAAGTGTACTATTACATTGCTAAAGTGCAACAACTAAAAGTATACTAGTTAGAACATAAAAAACCCTTA